TGGCTTTCCAAATATCCGTTTCATGGTATGACTTTGTTTACCTTCAATGTCGAAAATATTTACAGAACACACTGCAAAAAGTCTACCTCCATGAACGTCTCAAGTGCTATAATTAGCACGATAATGCAGTATTTCCTGTGTATAAATCTTCTTTCTTGAAAATGGCAACTGACATTTCTCAAGCAATGGGATATGTGAGTTACATGTAATTAGTATCTAGTAGTACAGGACACAAAATCTTCTCTTTGAACTAGCTATGCTTACTGTAACGAGCATCATGAGACATAACATAGGTGCTCTACGTTATGGAACTAACGGGTTTGCTCTCTTAGGTTGATGATATCCTTGACACAAAATTGGAACAGCAGTTCAAGCTGGTAATGGACAAAGGAACTTTAGATGCTATTGGTTTGCATCCTGATGGCCCTGTCAAAAGGTACCTCCTTAGACTGCTGTTTTTATAGTAAATTACCACACTTTCTTTCTGTTACCAAGCGCACAATTAGATTTGGTAACTAATGACACTTACATATGTATGTTTCAGAGTCATGTATTGGGATTCAGTGTCCAAGTTGGTTGCTCCTGGTGGGATATTGGTAAGAACATCTCGACTCCTGAACTAGATTTAGTTATAAGCGGGTTAATGCACATTCCTTTAAGCTGTTAGAAAGAAACCAAACGCTATTTAACGCTCAGGGAGGTGTGGATGCATTTGATGTGTGTGTTTTGACTCTTGTTTCCGGTTCTGCTCACCATAGAACACCTTAAATAAACTACCTCTATGTCTTGTCTCTGAATCATATTCTGCTTCTGTTCAAGGTCATCACATCGTGCAACCACACAAAGGACGAACTGGTGGAAGAAGTGGAGAACTTCAACATCAGAAAATCCAACTTATGTAGAGGAAATGGAAACGACGCTACCAATGCGCTTTCCGCTGGCTCCGAAGCTGCAAGCAGAGTTGAACCTCCGTTTGAGTATCTCAGCCACGTTAGGACATACCCAACGTTCATGTTTGGTGGGTCTGTAGGATCGCGTGTGGCAACTGTCGCTTTTCTTCGGAAGTGAGAACAAAACCTGTTGGAACAGGATTTGTTTAACATAATGCCCCAGACTTTTTCTCATCTTATTTTGGTGTTAAGACTTGTGCTTTTGGCTTGGGAGCTCTTAATAACCTAAAATATTATTTTCAGAAACACTGATTTGGTCATTTTATCAGTGTTTTTTTTCTTTTTTTTCTTTTATGAGATTCATCTATGTGACATAGATGAATTCCAAAATCAAAGACAACTAAAATCAGTTGATGAAATTAGTAACATTTGGTTACTATTAAAATATGAACCGACCCCAATTTATTTAGGGTTCGAATGGTTGCATCAATTAAGAGGAATAAATTCGTGTGCATTGGTGCATACAAATAGAGTTGGTCCATAGCGGTTTATTGTCCGACCAAAAATAAAACGGATTAAACCGCTGACGAATTTATCCATCTCAACTGCCGTTACTATTCAAAAATCTTAACATCCTCCTATTACATACAATGGTTTTGGATATTTTGTTTGTGTTATTTTAGTATTAATCCTGATCGAAGACTCTTGCATTTTTTTTTCAAAATTATTAGATAGCCAATCAAACAAGTTGAAGAGAAAAGGGATAAAAATCCAAAATTGTTCGTTTTTGGAAGTGAGTCTTTTGAGTTTGATGTGTAAGATTGAAACTTGTGTAAAAATCAAATAAAAGAGAAGAAATATCATACACGTTACATACAAAAATTGTATAATTTCATAAATTACAAAACGACGACGTTTAGTTTCTAAAGAACATCCAGAAACAGCCCCATCAGCAGCTAAGCTTCATCCGCTTCAATCTTTCCGCAAAAATCTCAGAACTTTGGAAACTAAAAAAGCAATGGAGATGAGTTTGCGTCTCGCTTCATCTTCAACCTCAAACCCAATTTGTCTTTTCAATCCAGGGAAAAAGCTTAATTCCTCAATCCGAAACCAGAGAATCCCTAGAACTACGAAGCCCTTTTGCGTTAGGTCTTCATTGAACTTGTCTAGACCACCACCACTCAGACAAACCTTATCTAGTAACTGGGATGTGTCTGGCTTCTCCGTTGATTCCGTTGCTCAATCTCCTTCACGGCTTCCAAGTTTCGAAGAACTCGACACCACAAACATGTTGCTTCGACAAAGAATCGTCTTTTTGGGTTCTCAGGTTAACCTTCTCACTAAATTTCTCACCTTTTTTGGTTTATAGTGAAATTGAGTTCTTTGTAGATTGTCAAATTGGTGATATCACTATGAAATTGAGTTTGTTCTGGAGATTGATTTTGTAAACATGAGCTAGTTTCATTAAAGCTATGTGCTTTCTTGATTCTTGAAGCAGAAACAAGATTGTTCTGTGTTGATAAGGTTGATTGATTAATGGAGTATTTGATGTAGTTTAAGCTGAGTAGTAGAATACTTGTAAATTTGATCAACTCGTTAAGTTGTTTGATGAAACTTAAAGAGTTTTGGAGATTTAGTTTTCAGCTTTCTTGAAATTGGTTCTTTGTGCAATTTCTTGATTCTTAAAGCAAAAAGATTGTGTTGTGTTGATTAGAATGATTGATTTGATTGAAGGATTTGATATAGTTTAGGCTGTTACTACCATTTTCCTCTGACATAGGAGTTTGATCAAATAGATTAATGTTTGTCCTGTGACGACTCAGCTTTCTTGACTTTGATATTTCTGTAGGTCGATGATATGACAGCTGATTTGGTTATAAGTCAGCTCTTATTACTAGATGCTGAAGATTCAGAGAGAGATATTACCCTGTTTATCAATTCACCTGGTGGATCTATTACTGCTGGTATGTTCTTATCGTTTCTACTGCAGGAAGTTTTGTGATTGTTATCAGAGTTTTATGAAATGTTTTGGCTTTTTTTCTCTTCAGGGATGGGAATATATGATGCGATGAAACAATGTAAGGCGGAAGTTTCGACTGTTTGTTTAGGGCTAGCCGCCTCTATGGGTGCGTTTCTCCTTGCTTCTGGTTCAAAAGGGAAACGGTATTGCATGCCGAACTCTAAAGTTATGATTCATCAGCCGCTTGGTACCGCTGGAGGCAAAGTACGATACTTGGATCTGTTTTATATGTCTTCTTGAATGTTTTTTCGTTTCTACTGTTATAAGTGTTGGATAACACAAAGCTTTGAATGTGTAATTTCAGGCAACGGAAATGAGCATACGCATAAGAGAAATGATGTACCACAAGATTAAACTTAACAAAATCTTCTCTAGAATCACAGGGAAACCCGAATCAGAGGTATTTGCATATCTTTCCATTGGTTTTCTTCTACATGATTCTTTTTTTCCCTTTTGACCTTATTGCTATCCTTCTTCACAGATCGAAGGTGACACAGACCGTGATAATTTCTTGAATCCATGGGAGGCGAAAGAATATGGTTTGATTGACGCTGTAATCGATGATGGGAAACCAGGACTAATCGCTCCAATCGGAGATGGCACTCCTCCTCCTAAAACCAAAGTCTGGGATCTTTGGAAAGTTGAAGGAACCAAGAAAGACAACACTAACTTGCCAACCGAGCGCTCGGCGATACAGAACGGTTACGCCTCAATCGAATAGAACCGTTGTTGCAGCGTTTAACGCCTTTTATATGTTATTACTATGGTACCTGCAACCATATAAACGGTTGCAGTTCCTGTGTTTTGTACCATTTCTCGGATTAGATAATTTGTTGTAGCACAGATGGTGCAAGCTACATGACAAGAAATCTACAAAACCAAAGCTGTTTTTACAAGCTACCTCCAAGTACAGGTTTTGAACTTGAGTTGGCTGGTTAGATTATTTTGATTGTGATTGTGTCATACAGACAAAACCTGGTTGGAGTAATTTTAATATTTTATTATATTTTTATGTGAAATAACATAACTTTTGACGTTAAGTAAACTAAAATAGATAGTGATGAGTATAAGTATATTCATATCTAAGAAAATATATTTTTTGATCAAATAAATCTTCCCTAATTATCTTGATGCTGGTATGGTATGTGTGTTTTTGATGCGATTATGTAAATTCTCTCTCAACGCTTCTCATATGTGAATTGTATATTTTGGAGTATTTTGTTGTAATCTTCAAACTTTAGAATGATCAAACACAAATTGTATTTGGTGTGGCACATAAGGCGCAGCAGTGTTATAGTTTTCATTTCACTCTAATTTTTAGTGTGTTTTTCTAGTTTCCGAAGGTTCTTTGATAGGCTTTTAGACTTATCATTTGCAACTAGATTACGATAACTTCACTATTTAATAAAATACTAAAATTCGTTTTTGCAATCAAAAGAAGTAAATTATTCTTATTTTTGTCCATCTGACATTGTTAACAAAAAGAAAAGAAGAAAATAAATTTTTTTTTTTTTGACAAATATTAAAGGAATGAATGGTGACATCGAATTTGACTGTGCAAAAAACCGGTTTTAACATGCGGTACAGTTTAATTGCAGTATTTTTAAAAAAGATAAATTTATGAGACATGTGTGGTTTGCTGAGTTTTGGACCGCTAGAAAATACTATGTTTTAAAAGCTTTTATATCTATATATGTTGGTTAATTCCGCAAGTTTTTCTATTTATTTTATCAAAAACGCTAACCAAAAAAAATCGAATTCAATAATAACATATATATGTTATTGTTGTGTTATACGAAAAACGTCCCAATTTTAAGTCGAGGTTTATCAAACATTTATCTCCAAAATAAAATAACGGTCGGAATGAATGTGTGAACTTGAAAAAAAAACTAGTTCGTGTTTTTTATACTAACAATAATTTTTTAAAATAACGGAAAAATTCAAATATATTTCTAAACATTAAATAAGTTGGTCTTTTCCCAAAACATTTCCTATTTCCCATAAAAAGTTTTCATTTTTTTATTTTCTTCAAAAATACATTTATTAATAAAGTTCTTTTAAAAACCACCACTAGGGTTAAAAAAACCCAATTAGAGAATCTCAGCAGCCACACTATAAATTCAGCCACCGGAGTAAGGATTTTCGAAATGGCGAGAACCGGAGAAGACGACGGAGCAAGAGCCGGCAACAATCTTTCCCCGAAGAGACAACGACTTCCTTGTCCCGATGAAGACGAAGATGAAGAAGACGACGCCGATTTCGAACCCGCATGTATCACAGAAGACGAAGACGATGATGATGATGATGAAGAACTAGAAGATATCGAAGAAGAAGAAGTAGAAGAAGTAGTGAAGGATGCACAATCTGGGAGCCAGAGTTCTTCTTCATCGTCTCAATCCGTAAAGCTTCAGTCTTCAGATGTTCTCGATTGTCCTACTTGTTTTGAGCCACTCAATAAACCAATTTATCAGGTTTCACACTTCCTTTGATTCATGAGAATAAGAACTATTAGGTTATAACACTCATCTCTAATTGGGGGTTTAGAGCTTTGATTTGGCTATTAACTGCTTCAGATCACTGAGTTTGATGATTGATTTGTTGCTTAGTAGTTTGGTGGAAACTGCAGAATAAGAATGTTAAGGTCACAGAATCATCTCTAGTTGGGGTTTTATAGCTTTGATTTTGGCTACAAACTGCTTCAAACCACTGTGTTTGAGTATTGATTTGTAGCTTAGTAGTTTGCTGGAAACTGCAGAATAGTCAAAGCTATAAAGGTCACTGTAGATTCATAGGTTGATGGAAACTGTGGATTCATAGGTTGATGGAAACTGTAGAATAGTGACATTTAAAGGTCACAACTTTTTCTCTATGTGGTGATTTTAAGTTTCAGTCAAGTGTATGAATCGTGAGTATAAGTTTTTATAAGCCTAATTGTATAGTTTGAATTGGCTAACTCTGTGGTGTTTTGTTGTGTGTTCAGTGTACTAATGGACATCTAGCTTGTTCGTCGTGCTGCAAAAGATTAAACAAGAGATGCTCGTTCTGTAGATCTCACATTGGGGATATACGATGCAGAGCCATGGAAAAGGTTATTGAAGCATCAATAGTCCCATGTCGGAATGCAAAATACGGGTGTAAAGAAACCACCACGTATTGTAAGCAATCTAGCCATGAGAAGGTTTGTTTTTTCGCCGAATGTTCTTGCCCTGTACCAAACTGCAACTACATTGGCTCATACATGAATCTCAAAGCCCATGCTTGTGCTGTACACTCTTGGGGGGACGAGGGTGGCCTCCACCCGGTGAAGCTTGACTGTCCAATACTCTTTTGCATGAACCTTCGTAAGCTGAAGACGGTCGTATTAAAGGAGGAGAAAGAAGGTGATTTGATTGTACTTCAGGCTTTTGAAGGATCGAAGGGCGTGAATGTGACTGTAAACCGAATCGCGCCTTTGGCTCCGGCAATACCCAACCTCTCATGTAGTCTGGCTAGGCTTGACCAGTTTAGGACAGTAAGAATTGGAACGATAATGCAGAAAATTCAGAAAGTGAGAGAGCAAATTCATCCTGAAGACGATGTATTGTCGATTCCGCTTAAAATGATGGCTGGCTTGGAGCATTGTTGGAAGATTCAGATTTGCATCGGCAATGGATATAAATATACTCACATCTGAAGAATCCTCTCAAAGTCTCATCTTCTTTTAGCTCTGTTCTTAGAAGTAGAAAGGTTGTTGGATTATAAACCTTCTTTTAAAAGTGAGCTCTGAAGTTTGAACATTCTCTTCTGTGGTGATGTTTTTTAATTTAGAGTTTAATTGTATTGGATCGGGTTTAACTGGTTTAGTTGGTCGTTAATTATTTTGATTTGGTACATCACATACTACTCGGTACAAACTAAAAACTTTAGTAAGGTTTTTGTGATTGGTAAATTTTGAAATTGTATAGTTGTAAAGTTTTGTGTAAAGTGGTTAGGGATTACTGATCAAACTTTGATGGCACTATTAGTACCAGCTAGTATAAAATGGTCATTTCATAGTTCAACAATGTTGATTTTTATCCATACAAAGATAGTAAGATACAGTGTGATTTTTTTTTCAAATTTGAACAAAATTTCAATTTTATACCCAATTTGTACAAATAGTGTCAATTTTAGATTCTACATTAACTTATACCGAGTCATATGCTATGTGTTAGAGTGAGATGCTGACACATATAACACATGTGATACGACTCACATCGTAAGAGGAAAGTAGCATCGTATATGTTAAAACGACGTTGTTTTAATATCGTGATTTTAAATAGTTCAAAAACAAATAAGACATTCCAAACTATTACAATTATAATTTTAATATATTGTAATCATTTCAGTAGACAAAATATTTGTCATCTTTGAGATTAGATCTCTACGGTACTAGCATTCCGTTTGATCCAGTTTGAATACTAGTAGAGACACAACATTTGAAATACTTTACGACTTCGGTTTATTTTGTTTATCGTTCCATTATAAACTATCTAAATATATTCATAATCTGATAACATAAATTATTTATGTAAATCTCACTATTGAATTTATGATTACTTTTATAAGTCATTAATAAACGAGTTATTGACACTCAGACCCACTTTGTGAATAAATGTTTGCAAACACACCTACTTTGAAGTCAAGGTGTACTTTGAGTGAAATTTTGTTTGGTGGGTGATTATTTGTTGACCATTTTGCCCTCTTTTGTAAGCTGGATAATTTTTTTTTTGTAATCGACTTTTTATCTCTTTCTTCTTTCTCTCCCCCTTTTCTTTTCTCTTAGTTTTTGCTATTGTCATTTTGGATGGTTATCATCAAAAATTATATATTTATTTATAGATAATAAGTTATGATTATATTTTCTTTATGTTTTAAGATGCATATTGATATATTTTAAATGAATTATTATCTTATATGTTATCCATATGTAGTTGAACATTAGTTCATTGATAAGTGGATGCTCTATTTGTATTTATAATTACTTTGTGCTTAGTAATATAAAAACATACTAAAACCTATTTCATGAAAGAATTTGTGGTTTGGTAAAAAATTCATAAATAAATATCAAACAAACATCTTAACCACTAAACCTTAAACCATATATCCTAACCCCTAAAACCTAAACCTTAAATCTCAATTCCAAAACATGAAGTTCTTTACTCTTATCGACTCAATAGCTTCCTATGGGTTTGAAGCTGCAACACGAGAACCTAAACCCTAAACCCTAAATCATATACCTTTAACCCTTAACCTTAGGTCCTAAACCCTAAACCCAAAACTTTAACCCTAAACACTAAACTCTGAACATAAACCATGAATCTCAAACCTTACCTCTTATCCTATTTAATTTTAACTCTAAAACCAAAACAACAAATCATACACTACATTCTAACCAACAAACGTTTTAATGAACATCCAAGCATATCCACACTATTGTAACCACATGGATATATATGCTCAATGTATCTAGGTGAAAAGAGAAAACAATGGAATATGCAAATTAAGCTAACAAAAAAATATTGGAAGATGAAACGAAGCTAGAGTGAAAGTAAATAGATTATTTGAAAAATTTATAAGGAGAGGCATCGTCGAAGTATGAAGTTTCTTTGCAATTGCTAAAACATATCACAACATGTCCTTAAACCTTAAACACTAAACCCAACCACTAAATTCTAAACCCTAAACACTAAAATGTAAACTTAAACCATTAAAGATAAAACAAAAACAATAACACTAAATCTTAAACTCTATGCCTTAAACTGAAAACCCTAGACACAAAACCCTGAACTATAAATCCTAGACACTAAAGACTTTAAAGAATAAATGATTCTATCTACATGGATTTAGCAAACTCTTAACAATAAATCTCAAACCCTAAATTCGAAACCAAAAATCATAAAGCCTAAACAGGAAACTCAAAAATGTATAAAACTAAACATTGAAATACCAATGGATCATATATAAGTGAGCAATGGACTCATTACACAAAGATACCATAAAACCATGACCCAAAATCCTAAAAAGGAGGTTTTCTATTGATCTTGAATTTTCATTCCACAAAGGTATCCATTGTTATTTCTTTGTTGATCTTGAGTTGTCAGTTAGTTATCATCCATACAATCATGTCCATATGGATACCGGAGTCATAGGGTTGAAACTTCTGGCGGAATCCCAAAGTAGACACCTTTCTAGATTTAAAGATGTCGACGAAGAATTTTAAACCGCAATCGATGTTGTGTCAAGGAGGATTCGGCAAAGTTTACGGAAGATGGATCGAAGAGACTCGTTTTGTTTGAAAGGAACTAAAAAAAAAAAAAAAAGATGAAGTGGCACAACTGCTTATTGTTCGAGGTTTTATGAGTGTGGACGATTTCTGGAATGTTGGATGTGGGATGTGGAGCTGTCAAAAAGAAAAACAGGTTTTGTAGGATGTGGAGCCGTCAAATGGAGTATGAATGTTTTTTTTTAGAAGAATAAAAATGATAAAAGTTAGGTAATAAGTGAAAAAGGACTATAAAGTCATTTCATAAGAAGAAAGTATAGCAATAGTTGTAAGTGGGTGTAAATGTAATAAAAAGTTGGCAAAGTGGGTCTACGTGCTAATAACTCTTAATAAACCGATACAAATCCTACTTTATCTCACTTTCCAAAGTCTTCCATCTACTACACACTACAGCTAATTAAATCAAGAAACACTTTTTTATTGTCTTTATTATTTTTATCTTTTACAAAACGCTTTTTATAGTCAATAACTCATCAGTCATATTGTGAGAGAGAGATATGACGCTATTGTCTATACGTAACGGCGGAGGAGGAAACAGCCTCCTTCTGTTTCCTCCACTGACGACTCAAGTTCTGAAGAAGAAGAAGAAGAAGAAGAAGAAACACTTGTGGTACTTAGTGATGATAGTGATTCTGATGAGGAAGATATAACTCTCCGGTTAAGCAAACGTCCAAGTTTTTCATCACCCAAATCCGTAACTCTCCCAAATTCCAATGTTCTTGATTGCCCAAATTGCTTCAACCCATTGAAAAAACCAATCTTTCAGGTTCGTTCACTTATTTTTAGTTTTCAGTTAGGGTTTAGTGTGAGATTTGCAAATGAGAACTATTCTGCTAAAAAGGTTACAACTTTTTCTCCCAATTGGTTAAGCTTAAAGTTTAAAGGTCACAACTTTATCTCCCAAATGGTTAAACTAAGTTTAAAGGTCACAACTTTATCACCCAATTGATTAAGCTAAGTTAAAAAGGTCACAACTTTATGTCCCAAATGGTTAAGCTAAGTTTAAAAGTCACAACTTTATCTCCCAACTGTTATAAGCTAAGGTCCATGGTTAGTTTGTTCCTCTGCCTAAAAACATTGACAACTCTTACTTCTTTGTTAGGTCAATGAGTTTCACTAGAAAGTGGAAAGATTGATTCTTTTCGCTTTGTGTTATTGGTGTTCGGTGTTGTTGGGGTCGAGGTGTTTCATTAGCAAGTGGAAAAATTGATTCTTTTAGTTTTGTGTTATTGGTGTTCAGTGTTGTTTGATCGTTTGATCGGATCAATGAGTTTGATAGCTAACCCATTTGGTTTGTTTTTTGCGTTTAGTGTAACAATGGGCATCTAGCTTGTTTCTTATGCTGCATCAAACTGAAGAAGCGATGCTCGTTCTGCGAATTGCCTATCGGGGATGTTCGATGTAGAGCCATGGAGAAGATCATAAAAGCAGGGCTAGTCTCATGTTCAAATGCAATGCATGGTTGTAAGCAGAGCACCACGTATGGAAATAAATTACTACTCCATGAGAAAGTGTGTGTTTTCTCCCCATGTTCGTGTCCCATAAAAGATTGCAACTACATTGGCTCCTACAAGGATCTCAACAACCACTTCCGTGGTACGCACAAACAGAGTCCGGGTGAAATCATGTCGTTTGTGCTAAAACGTCCTAGAATATTTGGCTTGGAGCTGGACGTTAGTGATAATAACATGGTGATTTTTCAAGAAGAGAAAGAAGGTGATGTGATTGTAGTTCAACGTTTCATCGGATCTCCCGGTGTGTATGTGACTGTGAGCCATATTGCGCCTATGGTTCCCGGAGTGCGCAAATTCTCCTGCAGTCTTGCCAAACTCAAACAGTATAGCACACTAAGACTTGGGTTGCGGGTTAAGAATATTCAGAAACCAAGATCTCAAGAAGAGCAGCCTGAAGATGACTTCATGTTGATACCTTCTTATATGTTGAGTGGTGATCATTTGAAGATGCAGATTTGCTTCGGCGAGGAAGATGACTTTATTCATATGTTAGGTCAGTAGAAGAAGTAGGGACTCTGTTTGGTAATGAGGTCAATTTGAGTTTGTAGTTTTGTGCATTGACTTTTTGTTTTTTTTCCAAAGCATTGACTTTTTGTTATTTTTCGACAGCATTGACTTTATAATGAGAAATTATAATTTACTGGAATTAGTAATAGATATTTAGATATTTCCACATATTTTTTGGTATATATAAAAAAAAAAAATCTGCGTAAGTGAAACGTGGTCAATAGGCATTTTAAAAAGTGACCCTAAATTCTAAAAACGATGTCGTGGAAGTAAAAACAAAACAACAAAAACAAATTAGGGTTTTGTTGTCTCCTTCTTATTACATAAGCAGACAAAAACCAGAACCTCCTCTAAAGTGTTAGAAAAACAAAAAACTAAATCTTCCCTCAAGTGAAGAAATGGCTCCTTGCAATTGCTGTGACGTTAACCAACTCAAGGTCTTTTTCACTACGCCTCCTTCTTATATAACTGGATTGTTGATTCTCAATATCTTTGAAAATTGTAAGACAACACTTTGTTCATTTGATTGAATTGCAAAAGACTTGGTAGAAGTTAGAGTTCGAAATCCATACATTTTCTTAGGTTTGGGACTAGATAGTTGACAAAACCAAGAGATTGGTCTATTGAGTGGTACCTATTAGAGAAGCGTCTATTGAGTGGCTCGTGGTAACATGTTGTTTCTTTGGTATTTGTTAATTGTGAGTTGACAAGTTGCACTAGATCATATTCGTATATTTCTTTTCTATCGACTACTCGTTACAACTTCGGTATAATATTATGGGATTCTTAACAAACTTTAATTTGTGAGTTTTGCATTGCAGTGTGATTGTGAAAAACTGTCTTGCTCATCAGGTTGGAAGAAACGGAGGTACATATATATATGCCCAAACGCTCAACATGGCTGCACCAAGAAATTCTTTCGTAACGGAGACGTATTATATCATGAGAAGGAATGTTTTTTTGCTTTATGCTATTGCCCCGCCCCTAAGTGCAACTACATGGGTGTGTACAATGATCTCAAAACTCACTACTACACTAATCACAAAGACACAATGAATGAGTTTGTGGATGTCAGTTCCAGTGGTGAAAGGATTGAGAAGGTTTTAGTCATTCAGATGGATAGATCTGGTCCATTGGTTGCTGTCCAATTTATCAAGGAGCAAGAGGGGTTTTATCTCACAGTGAAAAGTATTGCACCGTCTGCTCCAGGAGTTGAAGAGTGCTCCTATGATATCTCCTACTCTTATGGAGGAAAAACTATGAGACATGGATCTTCAGAGATGAAGAAGGTTCGGAAATTGTGTTTCAAAAAACCAAAGAGGGACTTCATGTTAGTTCCTAACTTCTTGATAGGTCAACATTGTCCAACATCTGACATTGAAATTTGTATTGGCAAGCCAAAAAAGGACGACGAAGAGGAAGAAGCTGATGAAGAAGATGTTAAAGTGTAATCATCATATAATATATATCCATTGTATGTCGTTCTTCTCATACCCTTTACTTTGTGATACAATTTCTGATACTTTTGTTATGGCTCATTGTTTCTTACAACCTTTTTTCTTAGTTAAAATTTAGGAATGGTAATTCAAACGTACTCTTATCCAAACCCCTATGTGTTTATGTTGTAGTTGACTTAGAATATTGTTTTTAAAATTCATATTAAACTTTTATCTCATATGTAAGGTCTCCTCCTCCAAGAAGAAATCTTAATTAGATGCAATGTTGATGATGTATGGAAAGAACATGTACATGAGTGGAGTTGGGATAAGTTTCTAGGGTTTTATTGGGCTTGGATTAGGAATGTTGATTCATTAATTAATACAATAGGCAGTGTAATTGGATGCTAATGATCTTGAAGAGATCCACAATGAGATTTGACATTCTTAATTTGATGCATGAGGCCATCGACATGCACATAAATAATCAAGGAAACAATTATTCTGTTCTTGATCGGAATATATGATTTTGTTGTTCATTATTATATTCTTGATCGTATTTCATACTGATAACACTGAGTCATTGATTATGATTAATAAATGAAGTTCAGAGCTAATACTATAATAAACAAATTTTCGATTATGGGTATCCGATATATTCTGTTCTCGATTATAGAGTAACAATTTTGCTTGAAGTTTTTGGATTTCTTAGAGATTGTATAGAAAATCAGGAAATCAATTCTGGATTTGATGTTTTCCTGATGTCTTTACCGATGGACTATCTACAAGAGGCAGTGAAGGCAGGATGTTATGATGGCTTTGACCACATTATAGATTTTCAATTGGCACAATCGTGGGCTTTTGGTGAAGATGATGATGATTGTTTCGTAGGACCAAACTCATCACAAGTTGTTTCTTTATTGGAAGTAACCATGAATGTATTACTATGTCTAGGCCTATGGTTCTCTTCGGTAAGATTTATGGATTTTTCAGATTCTGGTATAGAAAAAATCTCTTCAAAAGATGCTATGGTCGGTAATTTATTTGTGATGTTGGAAGAGAAAATTACAGAGAAGTTTCTTCAAAAAGATTTTGGTACGGAAGTTTTGGTACCTTTATGTCTACATTTTAGAGTTATTTATGGACACATCGGATTCAAAGTTACGGTTTTCAAAAACAAAGTTCAGGCACGAGTTGCTGCATACTAGTCGTAACAAAGAGAAATCAAATATGAAGTTGGACAATAACAGATCTAATGGTCGGTTAGCGAGTAAGACTGCTCTTCGGAAATCATCGTCAATCTCCCTTATGCTGTATTTTTCTTAGTGTATAGCACATACATCTGCGTATGTAATAATTGTGTTCAATAATTCTGTAAATTTCTTTGTAATAACTCTCTTAAATCAATGAAATGTTGTTTTTGCCGGAAAAAAAAATTATGTTCTCAAGTTAGGTGTGTAAGGACGGATTCAAAAAATTATTTATGAAATTTCTACGATATCTTTCAACTCGTTCAATTCTAAATAATTACAACAATATCTAGTTTAGATTGATTATTTTATTATTGAATTTAACCGGTATGAAAGAAATAGAGAATCTTTGAAAACTATATTTTGGCGTACCCCTATTCAAAAATGATAACTTCATATATACATTTTTTTTAAAGTGCCCCTTAATTCGTATATAATATATAAATTTATAGAGTTTTATAAGGTTAATAAGATACTTCTAGATAGTACATATTACTAAGAGATTCGTTTCAACTATTCATAAAGTTTTTTAAAATTGTTAGTATATACTGTATTTTGATAAGTTTACACACGTATTTGGATAAATATTAGACTTTTATTGACACTTTAAATAAAATTTTAAGGAAAAGACATTTGTGAAAAACGATATTGGAAAAAAATATTTTCTTGGAATTATATTCCCCCAAAATGAGAAAGTAATCTAAATTAATTTTATATTTATTTTGTTCCCATAGGATACAGTTAACTTAGAAATTTAGTCAACCAAAAAATCCAAATAAAACTTAGAAACAAATCATTGCATGTAAGGAAAGAAGGGTTTACCCACTGCACCCTTTCTTCTCTACGTACATATTATAAGTAGTGACGCACATGTAAAAGCCTCCACCAACACAATCTCTTATACTTTCCTCCACCACCACATCTATACTTCGATAGTAATGGACAACGCCGGAGAAGCATCGAGCAGCCGCCAAAAGAGGCAAAGACTAATCTCTATGGACAATGCTGGAGGAGCGGCAAGTGGTGACTTGATGGGACGGTCTTGGGTACTATTCGACCGAGATCTTCTCGACTGCCCTATTTGCTGCTATCCTCTGACTAGTCCTATCTTTCAGGTCTCTCTCTTCTCCCTGGTTTATAATTGTCTTAGTGGTAAAATAATAATATGAGAGTTTAGGATGGTTTTGGTGATATAAGACTTTAGGATAACAGTGATTAGAGGAAACTTAATGATTAATTTAATCTTGACTTCATTTGTTCAGTTTCTCTATACAACATTGATAATATTAACTAACTTTGAGTTTTACATCTCAGTGTGAAAATGGACATATAGCGTGCTCTACTTGCAGTATTAAGCTGGTGAGTAATAAATGCCCTTGAGGCATGGTTATACGATGATGTGGCAATCCTTCAGGAAGATGAATATGGTACATTGGTCGTTCTTCAGTGCTTCAAGGAGGAGCATGGATTGTATGTTACTGTAAATTGTATCGCACCTTCTGCTCCAGGAGTTAGGGAATTCTACTTTGATCTCATCTGCCGGAAGGGATGTGAAACTTTTAGGTATGAATCCGAGGGGATGACTAGGACTCAAAAGGTGAGTTTCGAAGTTCCTGTGGAGGACTACATATTGATTCCTTCTTATGCCCTGGATGAAAGCTCTATACTGAAGATGGAAATACGCATTCGCGAAAGAAGATGCAGACGATACAAAGATCTTAGTATGAGTGAGATAGTGTCATACCTCAAGAGGATAAATGATGAAGAAGAGTAATCATCACATCATATCCATTGTAGATCGTTCTTCTCGTACCCTTCTTATAAAATTTCTGATGTTTTTTTTTTATTCCCTTCTAAACGAATATATATTTTCCAATGCTCATTGTTTTACTAATGCTAAACGAGTACAACCATCAGTACTATACTAGGCTGCATGTTTATTTGGGAATGGTAAATCAAACAAATTCTTATGCAAACCCGTATGTGCTTTTGTGGTAGTATTTATTGTGTAGTTAATTTAGTTTTTAAAAAAGAAAAAAAAAACTCAAGATACAAAAAGATTATACATTGATGAATACACAAACTTTTGTCACATGTGTGGTCTCCTCCTTCAAGATGAAATTTTAGATGCATGTTGATGATGTATGGAAACATAATTGTATGTACTAGGGTTGCAATTTGAGATTATATGAGTTTTTTGGGGTGAAAGAATGAAGCGAGTCGTTTTATTAATGATGAAAATGAGATCCAAAAGGTTACATATATCGGTTCGAAAGTTACATGTAATCTTTCGAGCTAAGGTTTAACATAAGGAGCAAAATGCTAAAATCCAAGCCAAAAGTGCTACGATTTTTGGATAGGCAACATTTTTCTTTCATTGTTGGGTACTATCCTCTGGACCGACCATGTTCCCAATAATGGTTTTTGTATTTGTAGGGAGTCTGAACCCTAAAAACCCTACTCTCCTGTGCAAATTATATTATTACCCCTCCAAACTCAATGGACCTATTTAGTATTATAAATCTTCTTTAAACTTGTGTATCTATATTTTGGGCTTCAACATATTATGGGCAGAGTCCATATATGTCCAACAAATATTTATATGAATGAAGTTGAGATAAGTTTCTTAAGTTGGATTATGAACTATTTCAAAGATTTTAGTGGCCTTGGATTACGATGTTGATGCCTGAAAGTGAGCTTCAAAATTCCTGTAAAGGACTACATGTTGATTCCTTATGATGCCCCCGATGAAAGCTCTATAGTGAAGTGGACGGGACTTGGGAAAATTATTAACGAAAATTTCAATGAATTGGTATGGAGTTGAGAACACATATAGAAGTGGAGTTGGGATAAGTTTCTTTGGTTGGATTATGAGCCATTTCAAGGGTATTAGCGGCATTGGATTAGGATATTGATGCATTACAAGTGTGTGCTCAAACATGTCAAATCTGATGCTAAGTAGTTAATCAAAAGAAGAGTTTGTAATAGGACAACAAAAACATATATAGTTCGCCAATGAAGTGTTAGGAGGACCAGATATGTATAAATCTGGTATTCAACCTATTGTTACGAAAACTTCAATAAAATGTTCAACTAATCAATTCCAAATGAATTTCGGCAAAAAAAAAGAAAGAAAAAAAAAATCAATTCCAAATGAAAACTAAATCTATTTTAGATTGATATTTGTTGAATTTACTTGGCATAGAAAAAAATCAGGAAATACAAAAGTAACTTTTAACTAAAAAATGAGGAAAATGATTATTTGTGAAACAAAAGTGTAAATATATATCCAGTTTTTTTTTTGTTTTTATTGGTTGTAATTAAGAAGGAAAGATCTATTAATATTAATTTTTATTTATTTATTGTTGTTAAGAAGGAAATGTATCTTAATATAATAAAGTTAAGATAAGATTTAGTGCTATAGCTACAAAAAGTTTCCTCCACAGAATCTTAAAAGAAAAAGAAAAAAAAAAACACATTGCATGCGGTTTAAGGAAAGAAGGGTTCACCACTGCACCACCCTCTCTTCTCTACGTGTATATAAGTAGTGAAGCACATGTAACAGCCTCCACCACCACAATCTCTTATACAACAACGAGCAGCCTCACAGACAAAGACTTGGAACCATGGAGAACCTTGGAAGAACCACAAGTGGTGATGACGTGATTGCACGGTCTGGGACGACACTACTCGGGCATGATCTTCTACAGCATGGAGGCTTAGAGCAGCAGCACAGGCAAAGACTTGGTTCCATGGAGAATCTTGAAGAAACGGCAAGTAATGACATCGTGATAGAGAACAATGATCTTCTTGATTGTCCCATTTGCTTCCACGCACTGGCGACTCCTATCTTTGAGGTCTCTCTCTTCTTCCTTGTTTATAATTGCACTACTTAGGAGTCCTATAAAAATGATTTTTGTTGATATGAGGCTTTAGGATAGCAATGATTAGTGTAATAGGGATTTGTATTTGACCATGAAGTTTCATTTTAGGACCAGTGTTTCGTATAGGACAAGAATTTTTGGTCAAGGAAAAATGATGGATGATTGTTTCGATTTCTCAAATTTATATCTTGATTGCATTTTCTTAGTTTCTCTTCTCTACACAACTTTGATAATATTAACTAACTATGAGTTTTTACATCTCATCAGTGTTTAAATGGACACCTAGCGTGTAGCACTTGCTGTGCTAGGCTGATGAAGAAATGCCCTTCTTGCTTTTTGCCCATGGGTGACGAACGATGTCTTAGAATGGAGAAAGTTGTGGAAGAAGTCAAGCAGGGCAAAAAGTTAGCCCATGAGAAGGCTAGTGACTCTGATGTGCTCTATTGTCCAGCACCAAACTGTGAATACTTAGCTAATTACATGGATCTCTACCGTCATTACACTGCTTGCCACAAGGCTAGGTGCTCAAGGTTCAGGCCTGGCCAGTACGATGACGCATGTGTAAACATCATGCAGAAGTATTTAGTCCTTCAGGAGTATGATGATGGTCCATTGTTTGTTCTTCAGTGCTTCAAAGGGGCACATGGATTGTCTGTTGCTCTCAACTTAATGGCACCTTCTGGTTTAGGAGTTCGGGAATTGGGCTATGATCTCATCTACCTGAGGGGAAATGAAAAGATAGTGCATAAATCCAACGAGATGACTAGGATTCAAAGAGTCAGCTTCGAAGCTCCTGTGCTGAATTATATGTTCATTCCTTATTTTGCCCTTGATGAAAGCTTTGTATTGAAGATGGAAATTCGCATTCGCGGATCAGGAGGAGATGATGAGGAAGAACATGACGAGCCGATGAATGATGAGGATGAAGACGGAGAGGAGTAGTTATCATATTGTCTTTGTTGTAGTAGGAAGGTCATTGAGTTCATATATCATTGGCCTAGTAATGTATTTTCAAAGTTTATTTGCGAGATGCAAGACTAAAATATATTTGTGATCATAGATTAAATATATATTTTGTTGAATTTATGTGTTATTATATGTTAAATTAAAACATAGTATTTGTGAGACTAAAAGAGATTTTTTTTGGGGAATGAAAAACATAAACAAAAACAAATTAGGGCTTGTCTGGTGATTAGACATGTCAATCGGGCTGGTCCGGTTCGGAAAATATTCGGGCCTATATTTTAAAGCTCGGCCCGGTTCTAACAGGGCTACATGGTTTTTCGGGCTTTTTTTAGATTTACTTACAGATAAAAAATCAACTTCTAAGTTCATCAAATTTATAAAGAATGCATCAAATTTTAAATAACTTATCAATATTCATTAAAACTAACTTAATTTAAAGAAAAAATGAAAACCAAGTAAATTTTTTATATGTAACCCAATAAAACATGAAACTAAAATACTTTAAAATATATGATACAGTCAAAATTTAATATACTTCAATGACAATATCATAGATATAAGTAAGGCTAATAAGTAAATATGAACATTAATCAAATATTTCTAATCAACCTAAATATTTAAAAAATCATAATATATTTTTTCGGGCTTTTCGGGCTGGTCCAAGCCCAACCGGGTTAAGCCCAGAAAACCCTTTAGCCCAAATGGGCTTAGCACAAACGTCCCGACATTTCCTGGACATATAGATTTATATATATTTAAGTTCGAGTCCGATAATTTTAGGGCCGAGGTGTACTAAAATATTTTAAAATATATGACATGAAACTAAAATACTTTAAAATATATGATACAGTCAAAATTTAATATACTTCAATGAAAATATCATAGATAAAGATTTTAAAAGTATTAATTAAGACTAATAAGTAAATATGATAACTAATTCATTAATCAAATATTTATAATCAACCTAAAATATTTAAAAAAACAAAATATATTTTTCGGGCTTTTCGGGCTGATCCAAGCCCAACCGGGTTAAGCCTAGAAAAGCCTTTAGCCCAAATGGGCTTAGCACAAACGTCCCGACATTTCCTGTACATATATATTTAACTTCGAGTCCGTTATTTTTAGGGCCGAGGTGGACTAGCCTGCAGGTTTTAGCCTTAATTAACATGCCTACTAGCGATGGACCGAGCATCAAGCAGCCACCCTCACAAGGACCTATGAAAATTAGGGCTTGTCACAAACTAAAGTTACCTGTAATCTTTCAAGCTAAGGTTTAAAATAGAGAACAAAGGGGTAAAACACAAGGCAAAAGCGCTACAAGTTTTAGGTAGGCAACAATTTTCTTTGTTTGTTGGGTAATATCCTCTGGACTGACCATGTTCCCAAATCTCAATAGTGGTTTTTGTATGGATAGCAAATCCGAACCCTAAAAACTCCTACTGTCTTCTGTGCAAATTACTTTTTTTCTCCTCCAACCTTAATGGACCTATTTAGTGTTTAAAATCTTCCTTAAGCTTGTGTATGTCTGTGTTGGGCTTCCTAACATATTAGAGGCAGAGCTGATGTCCAACAAACATGTATGTGAATGAAGTTGGGATAAGTTTCTTAAGTTGGAGTATGAACTATTTCAAAGGTTTTAGTGGCCTTGGATTAGGATTTTGTTGATGCCATCACTATATATAATTATATACTACTAATACTACGCTATATGTTATTTCGGAATGGTAATTCAAACATAATCTTATTCAACCCCTTGTGTGCTTTTCTTGTAGTATTTATTGTGACAAAAAATTACTCACTCATGAATACACAACTTTATCTCATGTAAAGACGTCTTCTCCTCCAAGAAGAAATCTTAATTGCATTACAATAGGCAGTGTGTGCTCAAACATGTCCTATTCCAATCTGATCATGCTAAGTGGTTAATTAATCTGAACACGAGCTTGTAATAGGACAACAAAAGCATAGTTCGTGAAATTTATATCTTTGAATCTTTTGATATATATTTTTGAATACCAGAATCCAGAATTGTTACAACCTACTGTTGGGACTGATGAACTATGTATATAAGAAAGTTATTTGTGCTACGCACGAACTTGAGATTAAGGGTTATAAAAAGTGATATTTGAAATGATATTGATGCATTACAAGAGCAAGTGTGTATTCCAACATGTCTTGGTTAATCAAGAGGAAGTGTCTGATGCTAAGTGGTTAATCAAAAGAAGAGCTTGTAATAGGACAACAAAAGCATATATAGTTCGCAATGAAGTGTTAGGACAACCAGAGATTTATAAATCTGGTATTCAACCTAATGTTGCGAAAACTTCAATAAAGTGTTCAACTCTCGTCAATTCCAAATGAAAAATAAATCTAGTTTAGATTGATATTTTGTTGAATTTACTTTGTAAAGAAAACAAATCAAGAAATACAAAATTAACTTTTACCTAAAAAAAGAGAAAAATGATTATTGGTGAAACAAAAGTGTAAAGATTCAACTTTTTATTGCTTATTTTAAGAAGGAAAGATATCTTAATAGTCAACTTTTTTTTTTTTAATTGTTGTTAAGAAGGAAATGTATCTTAATGTGATGAGGTTTAGATAAGATTTAGTGATGGCGTTACAAACTTTAAAAACACACACACACACACACACACATTGCATGCGTATTAAGGAAAGAAGGGTTTACCACTGCACCCTATCTTCTCTACGTATATATAACTAGTGAAGCACATGTAACAGCCTCCACCACCACAATCTCTTATACAGCAACGAGCAGCGTCACAGACAAAGACTTGGAACCATGGAGAACCTTGGAAGAACCACAAGTGGTGATGACGTGATTGCACGGTCTGGGACACTACTCGGGCATGATCTTCTACAGCATGGAGGCTTAGAGCAGCAGCACACGCAAAGACTTGGTTCCATGGAGACTCCTGGAGAAACGGCAAGTGGTGATGACGTGATAGCACGGTCTGGGACACTCTTTGCACTTGATCTTCTCGACTGTCCCATTTGCTTCAATCCACTGGCGACTCCTATCTTCCAGGTCTCTCTTCTTCCTTGTTTATAATTGCACTACGTAGGACTCTTACAAAAATGAATTTTGTTGATATGAGACTTTAGGATAGCAATGGTTAGTGTAATAGTGATTCGTATAGGACCATGAAGTTTCATTTTAGGACCAGTGATTCGTATAGGAGAAGAAGTTTTGGTCAAGGGAACCATGATGGATGATTGTTATGATTTCTCAAATTTATTTCTTGACTCCATTTGCTTAGTTTCTCTTCTCTATACAACTTTGATAACGTTACCTAACTCTGTGTTTTTACATCTCAGTGTGTAAATGGACACATAGCTTGTTGTACATGTTGTGCTAAGCTGATGAACAAATGCCCTTCTTGCACACTGCCCCTGGGCAACTACCGATGTCTAATACTGGAGAAAGTTGTCGAGGCAGTCATTGTCCCATGCGGAAACGCCAAGCATGGCTGCCTGGAGAAGTTATCTTATTGCAAAAAGTTAGCCCATGAGAAGGTTTGTGACTCTTACGTGCTCCATTGTCCTGCACCAGAGTGCAACTACTCTGCTTTCCATTTGGATCTCTACCGTCATTACACTTCTTGCCACAAGGCTAGTTCCTCAAGGTTCAGGTGTGGCCAGTACGATGACGCATTGATAAACATCAGGGAGCAGGTTTTAGTCCTTCAGGAATATGATGACCTTCCATTGTTTATTCTTCAGAGCTTCATGGGGGCACATGGAGTGCATGTGGCTGTCAACGTATTGGCACCTTCCGCTCAAGGTCTTTGGGAATTGGGGTATGATCTCATCTACCAGAGGGGGAATGAAAGGTTTACACATGAATCCGAGGAGATGACTAGGATTCAAAGAGTCAGCTTCGAAGCTCCTGTGGTGAACTATATGTATATTCCTTATTCTTCCCTGGATGAAAGCTTAGTTGTGAAGATGCAAATTCGCATTCGCAAATCAAGAGGAGATGGTGAGGAAGAAGAGGCCTAGTAATGTACTTAATTCCTATGTCTATGTTTTTTTATTTTATTTTGGTGTACTTTCTCTTCACCCATGAACTCTTATCTCTAAAGTCTAAAATTCTTTTTCTGGGCTTATTGTTTTGTTTAATATTTGTTTCTTTTTCTTGCCATCGATTCTACTTATCCTTCTCTTTGTTTTTTATAATGAATTAAGCAATACATTGATGTTGTGGTGGGATTATGTGTCTTGTGCTAAAGCATTGGAAACGAGAGATATACACTACAAAAATCCGGTCAGCTCCGGCCACGGAGCTTCCTTGGCCGCTATGTCCTCCAAGCCTCGATCCACACAGTTTGGTGACCCATCCAATAAATGTTTGCTGGTTGTAAGACTAAAAGATAATTGTGAGACTAAAAGATTAAATTTATGTTTTGTTGAATTTATGTGATTTAATATATTAAATTGAAAATATAGATATATAGTTGTGAGACTAAAAGAAATATCTTTTTTTTTTGTGGGAAAACAAGAAAATATATAATACAAAGTTTTTCTGGAAGTTAAAAATATTGAATATATTATTTTATTTGTTATAAAAAAAAATTCAAGTATGAAATTAAAGTAATATTTTTTTTAATCCGCCCAAGTGCATAGACGTTGTAACTATAGAATAGGAAGCTTAATCTTATTGATAGTGTGTGTTTACTATATATATAGTGAGTACAATAGAGAGATTAAGTAAATAGTAATTATAAGTAGATCCTTTACACACTTCTCCTTTACACGCCCCCTCAAGATGGAGGGGCATTTGCAACTCCAATTTTGGAAACAACAGCTTCAAACTGAGGCCTTGCTAACGGTTTGGTGAGGACATCCGCGAGTTGGTCGTGAGTTGAAACATGAGTAACACGCAGAGCTCCCGCTTGAACATACTGTCGAACAAAATGGAAGTCAAGAGCAATATGTTTCATTCGAGAGTGAAACACCGGGTTTGCAGACAGATAGGTGGCGCCGACATTATCGCAGTAGATCACCGGTGGAGCTGGTAGCTTTACACCAAGCTCTGTTAGGAGTGAGCACACCCAACTTAGTTCTGAGGCAGCGTTTGCAACGGCTCGATACTCAGATTATGTGGAAGATCGAGCAACTCCACGTTGTTTCCGAGACGACCACGAGATCGGTGTTCCACCAAGATACAAAATATATGCATTTGTAGAGACACCATCATTTAAATCACGAGACCAGTCCGCATCGGAATAGGCGTGCAATGTAAGAGGCACATCAGCCCGAATAAATATGCCAAGTGTAGTCGTACCAGCAAGATATCGAAGAACTCGTTTGACGGCCTGCCAATGTAAGTCTGTCGGGCAGTGCATAAACTGTGACAAGCGATTAACCGCATAGGCAAGGTCTGGACGAGTGAAGGACAAATACTGCAGACTCCCAAGAACAGTCCTATACTCGGTCGGAGATGTGAGAGATGTAACGAGTAATTAAGAATAATAGACATTTAAAAATTTTGACCCTAAAATATCTTTCAGATCTAACGAACTTTTATTATAATACGCTTCATTAAGTGTATAATACAAGCATGATCTGCTTAAATACAGTCAACATAACCGGGATATAACCGGATCAATGCTAAACCAGCTATAAACCAATGTATATAATCTGACAATATCAACAAACAACAATGATGGACGAAGACACGAACGTGGCCGCTAGAGAAGCATCGAGCCGCCACCCTAACATGGTGATCAACCCACTTCGCTGTGACTTTGATGAAGTCAGGCTTCGTATCTTTCAGGTCTTTCACTACGCCTCCTTATAATTGGATAGTTGATTCTTAATATATTTCAAAATTGTATTGGTGAATGATAGCTTTAAGTCATTTCTAAGAGTGTTTTTGTAGTACAACACTTTGTCCGTTTAAATAAAGATTTTTAGAAAACTAAATTTTAGAAGTTTTTAGATTTCTAATATAACTATTAACGTAAATTTTTTTTTTTTAAAGGGTATGTACCTAATAAAGTATTTATTTCTTTTCATTTTGTTATTTGTTTTGAAAAGTTCCACTAGATATGCAATGGTACATTTCTTTTCTATAGAGAATACACGTTAAAACGTTGGTGAATTTTGGAAGCACTCATTCTCCAATGCCCAAACTCCCAACATGGTTGCACCTAGAAATTCTCTTATGACAAAGAATCATTAGCTCATCAGAAGGAATGTTTTTTTGCTCTGTGCTATTTTCCTGCACCTAGTTGTAACTACATGGCAGTTCGTGTATATCGAGTCCACTTATGCAAAGGCTAAATACCATTGAAAAGATTTTAGTGATGGATAGAGATGGTCCATTGATTGCGGTCCAATCCAATATTTTACGGAGCCACAAGGATTGTATTTGACTCTGAACTCTATTGCACCTTTTGCTCCACGAGTTGGAGAGTTACCTATGTTATCTCTTGCTCGTTGCTTGTCAAAAGCCTTGTTTAGTATAAAAGGTTTTCTCGCTTTATTAAGATGTGTAGGCTTTGCCTTATATACACGATTACAAATAACCTAAATGTGTAAAGATGACCAAGTGATAATACCTCAATTGGTAAAGATCTCTGGCAAAAGCTTAGAGGTCGCCGGTTTGAGTAGTGCTTGAGACGAAATCATATAACATGTTTTGATTTTGGGCCTGAGGGGATGTATAAGCTTTCGGCCCAGAACCTCTTTGATTATTATTCACAAAAAAAAAAAAAAAATGTGTAAAGATACTTTACTAAACTATACAGCAAATATATCTTAATTACACGATACACCCCTCTCCAATAGAATAAGGTTCAGAAAGTTAGCTTTCAAACTCGAGAGAAAAAGGATGAAAAAGAAGCTGATGATCACATCATACCATTGTAGATCGTTCTTCTCTTACCCTTCTTAATACAATGGTCTTGAAGTTGAATTGTGAATTCTTGATGAGTTTCTTTAAATCTAGTTTAGATTGATATTTTGTTGAATTTACTTGGTATAAACAAAATTAATTTTTCATTAAAATGAAAAACATGATTATTTGTGAACCAAAAGTGTAAATATTTAATTCTTGTGTTTTTTCCTTGTTGTAAAAAGGGAAAGATATCTTAAAATGATGAGGTTAAGATAAGATCTAGCTAGTGATAGCGTTACAAGATATCTCCTCCACTGAATCTCTAAAATCTAAAAAAACACGTTGCATGCGTTTTAAGGAAAGAAGGGTTTACCACTGCACCCTATCTTTCTGTACGTATATATAAGTAGAGAAGCACATGTAACAGCCTCCGCCACCACAATAATCTCTTATACAGCAACGAGAGCAGCCGCACAGACAAAGACTTGGAACCATGGAGAACCCTGGAAGAACTACAAGTGGTGATGACATGAGTGCACGGACTGGGATGCTATCTGACCTCGATCTTCTCGAATGTCCCATTTGCTGCAACCAACTGGCCAGCCCTATATTTCAGGTCTCTCTCCTTCCTGGTTTATTATTGTACTGCTTACGAGTCCTACAAAGATTATTTTTGTTGATATGAGGCTTTAGGATAGCAATGATTAGTGTAAATAGTGATTCGTATAGGAATAGGACAAGAAGCTTCATTTTAGGACAGTGATTCGTATAGGACAAGAAGTTGTGGTCAAGGAAACTGTTTTGATTTCTCAAATTTATATCTTGGCTCCATTTGCTTAGCTTCTCTTCTGTATACAACTTTGATAATGTTACCTAACTCTCTGTGTTTTTACATCTCAGTGTATGAACGGGCATATCATTTGCTCCGGTTGTAAAATTAAGGTGAAGAATAAATGCCCTTCCTGCTCTAAGTTCATTGGTAACAATCGTTCTAGAATCACGGAGAGACTTCTGGAAGCAGTGTTTTTCCCATGCCGAAACGCTGGGTATGGCTGTACAAAGAAACTCTCTTACGGCAAAGAGCTCGTCGACCACGAGAAGGAGTGTAATGATACTGTTTGCTATTGTCCTGAACCATACTGCCCCTTCGCTGGTTTCGATAAGAGTCTGTACCATCATTTCAATGTTTGCCACAAGGATTGTACGTACGCATCAAGGTTGAGGTCTGGCCAGCACGTTGACGTTTACGTACAGGTAAACATTAACCAGGCGATGATAGTCCTTCAGGAAGATCATCATGGTCCCCTGGTTATTCTTCAGTCTTTTAGGAAGGCAGACGGGTTGGCTGTGATTGTAAACTTACTCGCTCCTTCTGCTCCGGGAGATGTGAAACTTGGCTGTAATCTCTTCTACCGGAGGGGACAAGTAAAGTTTATGTATGACTCCGACGAGATGAATAGGATTCAAAAGGTGAGTTTCGAAGCTCCTAGGTCGAACTACTTGTCTATTCCTTACGAGGTCCTGGATGAAAGCTTCGTATTCATGAAGATGGAAATTCGCATTCGCGAATCAAGATATGAGGAGGAAGAAGATGATGAAGATGAGGATGAATATGAGGATGAAGATGAGGATGAAGATGAGGATGAATACGCAGAGGAGTAATGATATTAATTACATTATATCTGTTGTAATAGGTCGTTAAGTTCATATTTGTTGGTAATATATTTCTGATGTGTTCTTTTTTTGTTGTTGTTGTTGTTCCTTCTTCACCCATGAAGTATTAATTATAAGAACAAAGAGAAGTATATATAAGTAGAATCGATGGTAAGAGAAAGAAACAAACATTAAGTAAAACAATAAGGCCATTAAAGAGTTTTAGACTTTAGAGGTAGAGTTCAAGCGTTATAGCAAGGGACTGTAACTGTGGTACGATCCTAGAAGTTAAAATTTGTAAAGTTATAGACTGCAAGTGTGTGTCGACCCACTTTAAATCTATATTTTAGCTTTTACAAGTAAAAACTGAAACTTATATAATCAAAAAATGTAAAAGAATCTTCTGTGATATATATATATATATATTTTAAAAGAATTTCTCTCTCAAATTTTTATTATTTAATTTTTAATTTCTAATTTTTTGATGGAAACTACCATTTATAGTCGGATTCTTTTGCTAAATTATCCATTCATTCCTTTGTTGAGAATGTCCTTAGAGGTTTTGAAATAGTTGTTGAACCAAAAAAAAAATTTTGAATGAATTTTTTATCAAAGAGCTTCTGGGCCGAAACTCATACATCCCCTCAGGCCCGAAACCAAAGCATGATATATGGTTTCGTCCCAAGTGCTACTCGAACCGGCGACCTCTAAGTTTTTGCCAAAGATCTTTACCAGTTGAGCTATTAGCACTTGGTAAAAAAAATATTTTCAAACAAGAACAAAAAGTTTTTGTATTTTTTGCAAACTATCTATATACAAATTAGTGGTATATATATATTTATTTGTTAGTGGTGTGTATATATATATATATATTTATTAGTGGTATATATATACTGTGGTACGATCCTAGAAGTTAAAATTTGTAAAGTTATATATTGCAAGTGTTTGTCGACCTCGACCCAAATTGAAATTAGCTTTTACAAGTAAAAACTGAAATTTGAAACTTATAATCAAAAAATTTAAAAGAATCTTTTGTGATATTTAAAAAAGAAAAAAGAATTGTTCTCTTAGATTTTCATTAAAAAAAACACGAGCTTGTAATAGGACAACAAAAGCATAATTCGTGAAAGTTATATCTATGAATCTTTTGATATATATTTAAATACCAGAATCCATATTTGTTACAACCTACTATTGGGACTGATGAACTAGAGATGTATATAAGAAACTAATTTGTGCTACGTACTAACTTGAGATTAAGGGTTATAAAAATTGATATTTGAAGGTGAAAGTTAGAAGCTAGTTATTAAAGCTCGACATCGGAGAAGTTAGATCGGAGAAGAAGAAGAGAAGAACACCTTTATTCAATATAGAAAAGAGTTTGTTACAAATGCTTAACGTTCACATTAACGATTAATCAGCTTATATATGCTAATCAATCTTACAATATTAAACCAAACATTAAACCAATCTATCAAATGTCAATAACCGGATTGAACCAGTATAAGTATCCTAATATCCTCCCCTCAAGTCGATATCTTCATTACGTCTGGTTGGGAAGATAGAGACTTGAAAGTGACATTTGCTTCAGAAGATTGTAGAATGGACCTGGATGCAAAGGTTTGGTTAAGATGTCTGCATGTTGATTCTCTGATGTAACATGAAGAGTCTTGAGTTTCCCTGTCTTGATCTGGTCTCGAACGATGTGGCAGTCTATTTCAATGTGTTTAGTCCTTTCATGGAAGACCGGGTTCATAGCAATGTGTAGAGCAGACTTGTTATCACAAAACAACTTTGCAGGACAAGTGACAGAAACATGTAGATCTCTGAGCAATTGTTGCAGCCAGATAAGTTCACAAGTAGCATTAGCTAAGCTCCTATATTCTGATTCTGTACTACTTCTGCTAGCCACATTCTGTTTCTTGGATTTCCATGAGATAAGAGAAGTACCAAGATACATGCAATAGCCAGATACTGATCGTCTTGAATCTTTGCAATTAGCCCAGTCTGCATCAGCAAAACCATTGAGACAAATCTCTGAATCAGCAGAGTACATAAGTCCCAATCCTGGATTACCTTTTAGATACCTTAAGACTTTGTGAGCAGCTTGCATATGAATATCAGTTGGTGCAGAAATGAATTGGCTCAGTTGATGAACAGCAAAAGTAATATCTGGTCTTGTATTAGTAAGATATAACATCCGGCCAATCAATTCTCTATAAGAAGTAGGATTTGGCAGTAGAGTACCCATATCCTTGGTTAAGTGCAGATTAGGATCCATTGGTATAGAACTCGGTTTACATCCCAGTAAGCCTGCATCTTCAAGTAGATTCTGAGTATATTTTCTCTGACAAACAGAAATTCCAGCAGATGATCTAGCAATCTCCAAGCCTAAGAAAAATCTTGCTGGTCCTAAGTCTTTAATCTTAAACTCTGACCTCAGTAAAATCTTCAATTCCTCTACAGCATCAGTACTATTGCTGGCTATCATTATGTCATCCACATACACTAGAACTGCTATAAAAGCAACAGAACTAATCTTGACAAATAGAGTGTTGTCAGCATGTGATTGAACAAAATTAGCTCCAAGCAAAACAGAGGAGAATCGCTTATACCACTGCCTAGATGCTTGTTTTAAACCATAGAGAGATTTCTTGAGAAGACATACCGGATTAGGAGGTAAATCTGTTTCTTTAGGTGGTGTATATCCCTGAGGAAGACTCATGTAGATTTCTTCATCAAGTTCTCCATGCAGAAAAGCATTGGAAACATCCATTTGAGTCAGGGTCCACCCTTTTGCAGCAGCAAGAGCAAGAATGTACCTGACACTGGTTAGCTTTGCAACTGGTGAGAAAGTGTCGATATAATCAAGTCCCTCCTGTTGAGTAAAACCCTGTGCAACAAGTCTAGCTTTGTATCGTTCAACTGTGCCATCAGGATTATACTTGATTGTAAATACCCATTTACAACCCACCACATTCTTCCCTGGTGGTAAAGATTCGATTTGCCAAGTGTGGTTCTGTTCTAGTGCAGCTAATTCCTCATTTGCTGCAGCTGTCCACTTCTCTGATTTCATAGCTTGGCTAAAAGTTTTTGGTTCTGTTTCAGTACTATAAGAACATATATATGTATTATAAGAAGGAGAAAGTTTATGAAAAGAGACATAAGAAGATATAGGATAGGGTGTAGTATGATTAGAAATATCAGAAATAGTGTTTGGTGAAGTTTCTGAGATAGAAGCAGTAGGTTCTGTAGGGGGAAGTGATGAAATAAAAGGAACTAAGGAACAATGATACTCAGTCAGATAGCTAGGAGCTTTAGTCTGTCGTTTAGGCCTAGTATTATTCTCAGAATTAACACGAGTATCAATTGTTTCTGGTATTGATGCAGGAATGGTACTAGAATTTCTATGTGTACTAGATTCTAGCGATGCAGGTGGATTAAGAGATGCAGAAGAAGAAGTACAAGACATTCTAGCATTCCTAAGATCATCAACAGGAAATGTTTCAACAAAATGCAAAGGAACAGGTAAAGGCAATATAGTGTTTGGAAACATATCAACAGAAGTAGACAACAAATTACTTGTTTTAAAAGGGAAAATATGCTCATGAAAAGTAACATTTCGAGAAATCAATATAGAATGTGATTCTAAATCTAAAACCTTATAGCCTTTATATCCAGATGGATAACCTAAGAAAACTGCAGGTTTAGCTCTAGGTGTAAACTTGTTCCTATCTTGAGTATATGTGGAAGCAAAACACAAACAACCAAAATTTTTCAAAAGAGAATACTCTGGTTTCTTTCCTAGTAGTAACTCAAAAGGAGATTTATCATTTAGCAAAACAGAAGGTAACCTATTTATTAAGAAAACTGCAGTGTTAACACAGTCACTCCAATATTGCAATGGTATATTAGATTGAAACAATAATGATCTTGCTACATTTAACAAATGCTGATGTTTACGCTCTACAACTGAATTTTGCTGTGGTGTATATACACATGAAAAATAATGAATCATTCCATTTTCTTTTACTAAATCATTGAAAGCAAGCTCAGGAGCATTATCAGAACGTATAGCTTTAACTTTTGCATTATACTGAGTAAAAACCATTTTAAGAAAGGTTGGAAAAATTGTCAAAACATCACTTTTATTTCTCATCATGTAAACCCATGTAACTCTAGTACAATCATCAACCAAAGTGAAAAAGTATTTATAACCTTCTATAGATTCAGTACTAAAAGGACCCCATACATCAATGTGAACCAAGTCAAAAGGATTCAAAGAAAGATTGTTATGAGAAACATATGCTAAACGCTTTTGCTTTGCTAAAGGACATATCAGACACTCAGACACACTAGAAGAAATACTCTTTAAAGAAGGAATTACACTAACTAGTTTATGTAATGCTGCAGGTGAAGGATGACCCAATCGTTGGTGCCAGAGAACATCATCAGACAATTTGGAAGTAGACAGAGAACATATCACAGGTATTGATGAAGAAAGGGATTGATTCTCAGTGTCAAGAATATACAAATTGTTGATAAGTTTACCCCTCCCAATCATCAAGCCCTGAGAAAGTTCCTGAATCAAACAACAAGTAATATAAAAGTGAGCAGAACAATTCAAAGTCTTCACCAAGCAACTAATACTAATAAGATTGAACTTAAAATCTGGAACATGCAAAACATTATGCAAAATTAAAACTGTTGAAATGCAAATAGTGCCAGTATGTGTGATAGGAACTCTAGTACCATTTGGAAGTGTTACAGTCACATTTGATACTGGTTTTAATTCCCTAAACATAGCTAAATCTGAACAGACATGACTAGAAGCTCCACTATCTATTATCCAAGCATCAGAAGGTAGAAATTTCTGTAAAGAAGAGAGAGTATGATTTTGAAAGGTGAGATTATTATTCTCATACTTAAGGCTAGTGGAAGGAAAAGAAACATTACCAGAAGTAGAAGTTTTCGCCATTAGACCATGATCAGAGATAGTAGCAGTACCATGTGTACTAGTAACAGCAGCTATTGGAACATCAGAATCTTGTGCTGTATGTTGAATTTGTGAGTTGAACTGTTGAACCAACTGTTGAATCTGT